TGAGCGGGCGGTTAGCTTGCGATGATGGGACGGGGTTTGAGGCGCCTCAAAAACCAAGCATGGCTCAGGGATGAGCGGGCGGTTAGCTTGCGATGATGGGACGGGGTTTGAGGCGCCTCAAAAACCAAGCATGGCTCAGGGATGAGCGGGCGGTTAGCTTGCGATGATGGGACGGGGTTTGAGGCGCCTCAAAAACCAAGCATGGCTCAGGGATGAGCGGGCGGTTAGCTTGCGATGATGGGACGTGGTTTGAGGCGCCTCAAAAACCAAGCATGGCTCAGGGATGAGCGGGCGGTTAGCTTGCGATGATGGGACGGGGTTTGAGGCGCCTCAAAAACCAAGCATGGCTCAGGGATGAGCGGGCGGTTAGCTTGCGATGATGGGACGGGGTTTGAGGCGCCTCAAAAACCAAGCATGGCTCAGGGATGAGCGGGCGGTTAGCTTGCGATGATGGGACGGGGTTTGAGGCGCCTCAAAAACCAAGCATGGCTCAGGGATGAGCGGGCGGTTAGCTTGCGATGATGGGACGGGGTTTGAGGCGCCTCAAAAACCAAGCATGGCTCAGGGATGAGCGGGCGGTTAGCTTGCGATGATGGGACGGGGTTTGAGGCGCCTCAAAAACCAAGCATGGCTCAGGGATGAGCGGGCGGTTAGCTTGCGATGATGGGACGTGGTTTGAGGCGCCTCAAAAACCAAGCATGGCTCAGGGATGAGCGGGCGGTTAGCTTGCGATGATGGGACGGGGTTTGAGGCGCCTCAAAAACCAAGCATGGCTCAGGGATGAGCGGGCGGTTAGCTTGCGATGATGGGACGGGGTTTGAGGCGCCTCAAAAACCAAGCATGGCTCAGGGATGAGCGGGCGGTTAGCTTGCGATGATGGGACGGGGTTTGAGGCGCCTCAAAAACCAAGCATGGCTCAGGGATGAGCGGGCGGCTAGCTTGCGATGATGGGACGGGGTTTGAGGCGCCTCAAAAACCAAGCATGGCTCAGGGATGAGCGGGCGGTTAGCTTGCGATGATGGGACGGGGTTTGAGGCGCCTCAAAAACCAAGCATGGCTCAGGGATGAGCGGGCGGTTAGCTTGCGATGATGGGACGGGGTTTGAGGCGCCTCAAAAACCAAGCATGGCTCAGGGATGAGCGGGCGGTTAGCTTGCGATGATGGGACGTGGTTTGAGGCGCCTCAAAAACCAAGCATGGCTCAGGGATGAGCGGGCGGTTAGCTTGCGATGATGGGACGGGGTTTGAGGCGCCTCAAAAACCAAGCATGGCTCAGGGATGAGCGGGCGGTTAGCTTGCGATGATGGGACGGGGTTTGAGGCGCCTCAAAAACCAAGCATGGCTCAGGGATGAGCGGGCGGTTAGCTTGCGATGATGGGACGGGGTTTGAGGCGCCTCAAAAACCAAGCATGGCTCAGGGATGAGCGGGCGGTTAGCTTGCGATGATGGGACGGGGTTTGAGGCGCCTCAAAAACCAAGCATGGCTCAGGGATGAGCGGGCGGTTAGCTTGCGATGATGGGACGGGGTTTGAGGCGCCTCAAAAACCAAGCATGGCTCAGGGATGAGCGGGCGGTTAGCTTGCGATGATGGGACGGGGTTTGAGGCGCCTCAAAAACCAAGCATGGCTCAGGGATGAGCGGGCGGTTAGCTTGCGATGATGGGACGGGGTTTGAGGCGCCTCAAAAACCAAGCATGGCTCAGGGATGAGCGGGCGGTTAGCTTGCGATGATGGGACGGAGTTTGAGGCGCCTCAAAAACCAAGCATGGCTCAGGGATGAGTGGGCGGTTAGCTTGCGATGATGGGACGGGGTTTGAGGCGCCTCAAAAACCAAGCATGGCTCAGGGATGAGCGGGCGGTTAGCTTGCGATGATGGGACGGGGTTTGAGGCGCCTCAAAAACCAAGCATGGCTCAGGGATGAGCGGGCGGTTAGCTTGCGATGATGGGACGGGGTTTGAGGCGCCTCAAAAACCAAGCATGGCTCAGGGATGAGCGGGCGGTTAGCTTGCGATGATGGGACGGGGTTTGAGGCGCCTCAAAAACCAAGCATGGCTCAGGGATGAGCGGGCGGTTAGCTTGCGATGATGGGACGGGGTTTGAGGCGCCTCAAAAACCAAGCATGGCTCAGGGATGAGCGGGCGGTTAGCTTGCGATGATGGGACGTGGTTTGAGGCGCCTCAAAAACCAAGCATGGCTCAGGGATGAGCGGGCGGTTAGCTTGCGATGATGGGACGGGGTTTGAGGCGCCTCAAAAACCAAGCATGGCTCAGGGATGAGCGGGCGGTTAGCTTGCGATGATGGGACGGGGTTTGAGGCGCCTCAAAAACCAAGCATGGCTCAGGGATGAGCGGGCGGTTAGCTTGCGATGATGGGACGGGGTTTGAGGCGCCTCAAAAACCAAGCATGGCTCAGGGATGAGCGGGCGGTTAGCTTGCGATGATGGGACGGGGTTTGAGGCGCCTCAAAAACCAAGCATGGCTCAGGGATGAGCGGGCGGTTAGCTTGCGATGATGGGACGGGGTTTGAGGCGCCTCAAAAACCAAGCATGGCTCAGGGATGAGCGGGCGGTTAGCTTGCGATGATGGGACGGGGTTTGAGGCGCCTCAAAAACCAAGCATGGCTCAGGGATGAGCGGGCGGTTAGCTTGCGATGATGGGACGGGGTTTGAGGCGCCTCAAAAACCAAGCATGGCTCAGGGATGAGCGGGCGGTTAGCTTGCGATGATGGGACGGAGTTTGAGGCGCCTCAAAAACCAAGCATGGCTCAGGGATGAGCGGGCGGTTAGCTTGCGATGATGGGACGGGGTTTGAGGCGCCTCAAAAACCAAGCATGGCTCAGGGATGAGCGGGCGGTTAGCTTGCGATGATGGGACGGGGTTTGAGGCGCCTCAAAAACCAAGCATGGCTCAGGGATGAGCGGGCGGTTAGCTTGCGATGATGGGACGGGGTTTGAGGCGCCTCAAAAACCAAGCATGGCTCAGGGATGAGCGGGCGGTTAGCTTGCGATGATGGGACGGGGTTTGAGGCGCCTCAAAAACCAAGCATGGCTCAGGGATGAGCGGGCGGTTAGCTTGCGATGATGGGACGGGGTTTGAGGCGCCTCAAAAATCAAGCATGGCTCAGGGATGAGCGGGCGGTTAGCTTGCGATGATGGGACGGGGTTTGAGGCGCCTCAAAAACCAAGCATGGCTCAGGGATGAGCGGGCGGTTAGCTTGCGATGATGGGACGGGGTTTGAGGCGCCTCAAAAACCAAGCATGGCTCAGGGATGAGCGGGCGGTTAGCTTGCGATGATGGGACGGGGTTTGAGGCGCCTCAAAAACCAAGCATGGCTCAGGGATGAGCGGGCGGTTAGCTTGCGATGATGGGACGGGGTTTGAGGCGCCTCAAAAACCAAGCATGGCTCAGGGATGAGCGGGCGGTTAGCTTGCGATGATGGGACGGGGTTTGAGGCGCCTCAAAAACCAAGCATGGCTCAGGGATGAGCGGGCGGTTAGCTTGCGATGATGGGACGGGGTTTGAGGCGCCTCAAAAACCAAGCATGGCTCAGGGATGAGCGGGCGGTTAGCTTGCGATGATGGGACGGGGTTTGAGGCGCCTCAAAAACCAAGCATGGCTCAGGGATGAGCGGGCGGTTAGCTTGCGATGATGGGACGGGGTTTGAGGCGCCTCAAAAACCAAGCATGGCTCAGGGATGAGCGGGCGGTTAGCTTGCGATGATGGGACGGGGTTTGAGGCGCCTCAAAAACCAAGCATGGCTCAGGGATGAGCGGGCGGTTAGCTTGCGATGATGGGACGGGGTTTGAGGCGCCTCAAAAACCAAGCATGGCTCAGGGATGAGCGGGCGGTTAGCTTGCGATGATGGGACGGGGTTTGAGGCGCCTCAAAAACCAAGCATGGCTCAGGGATGAGCGGGCGGTTAGCTTGCGATGATGGGACGGGGTTTGAGGCGCCTCAAAAACCAAGCATGGCTCAGGGATGAGCGGGCGGTTAGCTTGCGATGATGGGACGGGGTTTGAGGCGCCTCAAAAACCAAGCATGGCTCAGGGATGAGCGGGCGGTTAGCTTGCGATGATGGGACGGGGTTTGAGGCGCCTCAAAAACCAAGCATGGCTCAGGGATGAGCGGGCGGTTAGCTTGCGATGATGGGACGGGGTTTGAGGCGCCTCAAAAACCAAGCATGGCTCAGGGATGAGCGGGCGGTTAGCTTGCGATGATGGGACGGGGTTTGAGGCGCCTCAAAAACCAAGCATGGCTCAGGGATGAGCGGGCGGTTAGCTTGCGATGATGGGACGGGGTTTGAGGCGCCTCAAAAACCAAGCATGGCTCAGGGATGAGCGGCGGTTAGCTTGCGATGATGGGACGGGGTTTGAGGCGCCTCAAAAACCAAGCATTGCTCAGGGATGAGCGGCGGTTAGCTTGCGATGATGGGACGGGGTTTGAGGCGCCTCAAAAACCAAGCATGGCTCAGGGATGAGCGGCGGTTAGCTTGCGATGATGGGACGGGGTTTGAGGCGCCTCAAAAACCAAGCATTGCTCAGGGATGAGCGGCGGTTAGCTTGCGATGATGGGACGGGGTTTGAGGCGCCTCAAAAACCAAGCATGGCTCAGGGATGAGCGGGCGGTTAGCTTGCGATGATGGGACGGGGTTTGAGGCGCCTCAAAAACCAAGCATGGCTCAGGGATGAGCGGGCGGTTAGCTTGCGATGATGGGACGGGGTTTGAGGCGCCTCAAAAACCAAGCATGGCTCAGGGATGAGCGGCGGTTAGCTTGCGATGATGATGGGGCGGGTTGGGATGGGACACGGGGATGAGCTCAGCAGTGAAAGGTCTCCGGTTCAAGTCCGGTCGTAAGCGCCGAATAAGTCCAGACGAGTTCCAAGGGGCCTAAAAATTGACTCAACTTCAAGGCTGGCTGGTAGTTTACGCGTTCAGTCGTCAACACACTACAAGCAGAGGTGATGCAACAGTTAACACAGTGGAGGGCGGGCTGTGAGGCTCACAGGTCTGTGAGGTGGGTTAGGCTGCCAATGGCGGTGGGGAAGGGCCCTGGCAGCCCTGCAGGCATCTGCTCCGTTGTCAGCGTCCTGCCATGTGCGTGTGAGGGGATGGAGGGAGGAGGAAGAGGGAGGAGGGAGGAGGGAGGAGGGAGGAGGGAGGACGGAGGAGAGAGGACGGAGGACGGAGGACGGAGGAGGGAGGAGGGAGGAAGGAGGAGGGAAGAGGGAGGAGGGAAGGGGGAGAGGGGGGGTTGAGGAGGCGAGGGAAGTGAGTGGCATTCAGGCAGTAGCAGTACTGAGGGCGCTTGCTTGCGTGTTCTTCACATGCTCATCACTCACACGCTAATCACTCACACGCTAATCACTCACACGCTAATCACTCACACGCTAATCACTCACACGCTAATCACTCACACGCTAATCACTCACACGCTAATCACTGACACGCTCACGAAAGAACCGCCCACGTCGCACGCCAGCCCCGTGGCAGCAGCGTTGTTGCCATTGGGGGTAGAGAGACGACTTATCAAGCGACTTTGAGGCGCCTCAAACGTATACTATTTGAGGTGCCTCATAAGAAGTCACTCACATGCTCACGACGAACCCGCCCTCGTCGCATGTCAGCCCCGTAGCGGCATCGCAGTTGCCATTGGCGCGCCACTCGTTGAGGCTCACCCCCCACCCCGCCTGCATCTCCAGCAGCGGGGGGACTGCGGGGAGGCGGGGGAAGCGAGGATGGGGGACTATTTTTATGAGTCGACTAAAAATCCACTCGTTGAGGCTCACTCCCACCCCGCCTGCATCTCCAGCAGCGGGGGGACTGCGGGGAGGCGGGGGAAGCGAGGATGGGGGACTATTTTTATGAGTCGACTAAAAATCCACTCGTTGAGGCTCACTCCCACCCCGCCTGCATCTCCAGCAGCGGGGGGACTGCGGGGAGGCGGGGGAAGCGAGGATGGGGGACTATTTTTATGAGTCGACTAAAAATCCACTCGTTGAGGCTCACTCCCACCCCGCCTGCATCTCCAGCAGCGGGGGGACTGCGGGGAGGCGGGGGAAGCGAGGATGGGGGACTATTTTTATGAGTCGACTAAAAATCCACTCGTTGAGGATCACTCCCCACCCCGCCTGCATCTCCAGCAGCGGGGGGACTGCGGGGAGGCGGGGGAAGCGAGGATGGGGGACTATTTTTATGAGTCGACTAAAAAGCCACTCGTTGAGGATCACTCCCACCCCGCCTGCATCTCCAGCAGCGGGGGGACTGCGGGGAGGCGGGAGGGGAGGATGGGGGACAGGGGGAAGGATTGGGACGGCGGGGGAAAGGTGGGGGGAATGGGAAGACGGGGGGAGGGAATGAGGTGACGGAAAAAGGGGCAGCCGGAAGAGCGGGGACTGGGGGAAACTGTGGACTGCTTTCCACGGAGAACGGGCAGCAGACGTTTCAGTAGAATGGCCACGTCACTGTCGCTGGACCACTGGGCCAAAACCGCGATTATTCAGAGGCGCAGCGGTGCGCTTTCAGCCCTGTTTAAGTCAGCAGTGCTAGGCGTCGGCAGCGTTAGCAGGAAAGCTGTCAGTACGTTGCGAGGCGCCGCGAACGACGCGGTGGACGGGGGATTCGAGAAACGCTTCTAGTAAACGCAGCGTGGCTATACTTTGCGATGGTCAATGGGGCCACTTTTGAAAACCCTCAAAAGATAATTTGCGAGGGTCGATAGGGGGGGAGCAAGTTCCAGTGGGAGAAGAAGGCGGAGAGGCGCGCGACGGGACGAAAGGTTCGCGAAGTGCGACCGCCAATTGCAGCTGTACCTTGCGACTCGCAGGTGTACCATGCGACTCGCGGCTGTACCTTGCGACTCGCGGCTGTACCTTGCGACTCGCAGGTGTACCTTGCGACTCCCAGCTGTACCTTGCGACTCGCAGCTGTACCTTGCGACTCGCAGATGTACCTTGCGACTCGCAGCTGTACCTTGCGACTCGCAGCTGTACCTTGCGACTCGCAGCTGTACCTTGCGACTCGCAGCTGTACGGTACCTTGCGAGGAGTCAATGAGGACGGCCAAGGAAGCGGGGAGTCACTTTTGAGAGATTTCAACTTACCTTTTGGGAGTACTCAGTGGGGCGATGGACGGGGGGACTTTAGAGGCGCCTCAAAAGCCATTCGAAGATGTACCTTGCGACTCGCAGATGTACCTTGCGACTCGCAGATGTACCTTGCGACTCGCAGATGTACCTTGCGAGGAGTCAATGAGGACGGCGAAGGAAGTGGGGAGACGAAGCAGGAGGAGCGAGGCGAGCAGGGCAACGTGCGAAAGGTGGTAGCTGCCGCGGCGACGGGAGTCGGCGCGCTTATGGACCGCGCTGCGCGAGTGTGCGGACCCTTGACGAGCGCAGGGAAAGGTTTGTACAGCGAGGAGCGACCAATGAGCCATGCCGGTGTCGTCGTGTAGCGCTCAACCCGAAAGTCTTGGCTTGAAAGCTCGTTTTTGGAGCCAATAAAGCTACAATGCTACCTTATTCGAAATACTTTTCGGAATGCGGCGCGAGACGTGCTTGACTAAACAGGATTATATTCAAAAGGTGGTGACGCCGAAGTGGTGAATCTATTCTCCAAAACTAGTTGCAATGCAAGATGCTTACTGTGGTGAAACGAAGAATGGAAAGCGAAAGCAAGACAAGAAGGAAACGGAGCGGCGGCGGCGAACAAAGCAGAACGGAAAGGGTGCTGCCAGGCTCGGTGGTTGTGGGTCTGGTCTGGAAGGAAGCATCTTTCACCCTCGGAGTTGAAGGAGCATTTAGAAACACCCTCGGATCGAAAACAAGTTGTGAATTGTCAACTAAATGAGACCAGAAAAGTAAACTGGTGGGTGTGGTTGGTGGTTTTATTTTGAACCGCGATAACATTAATCATACGAGCATTTTCTTCGGTGGCAGGAAACCCAGAAACTGGTATTCTTGCTGACAGTGATCAGGTCCGATCTGAGCTGTACGGTTCGGGGTATGCTTCGACTCGCAAGCGAGCCTCAGTCTTTGCCTCGGCTCGGAGTTCATTCTGGCGCAGCGCAACGGGCTCAATACACAACAAAACTAATTAGCGTATTGAGTAACTCGCTAATGACAGATTTAACCGTAATGTTCAGGCATCTTCAAATCAGGGAGCCATTCAAGTGATTAGGCATGCTATGGCAAAGGCATGGGTAGGCAACTCCTGCACGGCTAGTGCATATAACGTTCAGTTGTTTTGGCCAGCTCGTGTCGAAATTTTATCCCCGCATGATTCACTGGAGCGTTACAACGAAGGTGATACATTCTGCACATAACGTGTACAATTGCTAGGCATTTCACACATGAGTTAAAACTGCTTCTTTCCCAGAACATGCAGGGTTTTGATGTAGCTGCTTCATTTGCACATCAGGGTGGCAAAGGCCGGCACAGGTGGGCATGTCCCACACAGCCACAGCGGTGGGCGTGCAGTTATTTTGGCAGAGGGGCCAGCTCATCTCATGTGATACATCAAATGCCAGCATCCACGCCCCCACAGTCACATCCTCGTTTAAGAACATCCTCAGCCTGCGATCGTGACAGTAACGAGAACAGAGGTGGGCGAGTAAGAGTTGGATTTCAAGACCGAAGAAAAAAAACAGCCCTGTCTTGCAGTGCTTGAAAAAATTCAGACTCTCTTGGAGCTTCTCCCTTGCAGCTCCTACCTGGCCATTATACCGGTTTGTCAACCAGACATAGCTCACTTGCTCAGTTGCCTCATTCAACAACACGCATGACTCGTGTCAACTCAAAAAAATGCACCCCTGACCTGCCCTTGGGAATGGAGTTGAGCATATTGTTGACATCGAAGGAGAGCAAGTATATGCGGCCGTAGGACATACATGCACGGCTCACCTCGTTGCAAGACAAGCACAACCCACCTACCCTTGGGAATGGAGTTGAGAATGTTGACGACGTCGTAGGAGAGGGAGTAGATGGCACTGTGCGCATTCAGGAGATACATTCACGGCTCGCCACGTTGCATGACAAGCACAGCTCACCTGCCCTTGGGGATGGAGTTGAGAATGTTGACGACGTCGTAGGAGAGGGAGTAGATGGCACTGTGCGCATTCAGGAGATACATTCACGGCTCGCCACGTTGCATGACAAGCACAGCTCACCTGCCCTTGGGGATGGAGTTGAGAATGTTGACGACGTCGTAGGAGAGGGAGTAAATGGGGCCGTAGGCATGAAGGAAATACTCCGACCCCACCAGCCATGACTTGGGCTCAAACCTGCGCAGAACAAAAAACGAAGGAGAAAAAAGGGATTAAATGTGAAAAGCAGGAGCAGTAATGGGTTCACCGATGAGTTTCATGGCTCTTCGGAATAGGCCGAGAGAAGAGACCAGCAAAGAGGTCGGCCCACTTGTCTGCATCAAGAAATATGAGAGGGGAAGGCACGACTCGTTTACACACTAATATCACTGTACGTTGCATGGATTGAGAGAGTCACCAGAAAGAGCAACAACAACCGCTTGAAGGTGTAACATGGCAACTGAACTCACCACTTCATCTTGGGATTAGTGAACACAGCTCCCTTCTTCAAGCAACCAAGGTAGGTTCGAGGTGACTTCCTTGGCCTGGCGATCAGAGAGGAGAGGCGGTCTGCAGGGATGCACAGAAATAGGCAGCAGAGGGTGGGACTCGTCTGAGCAAGGAACGCTTTTGAGACTTCTGAAATGCGACTCGTGCGAAAAACGGATTCTTTCCGAGACACGCTCAACATACGAACAGCATCACAGGACTTGGGAGGATTTAAGGGCGAACCTGGTATGAGGGAGATGTGAGATGGACGTACGTGGTATGAGGGAGATGTGAGATGGACGTACCTGGTCTCAAGTAGATGTCGTCGTCTGCCTTGACGTAGAACTCGGCTTCATAGAGCTTGAAGTGAGATGTGAAGTACACGAGACTGGGGGATGGGGGATGTGAAATTACGAGGGTAGAATGGGAATGGAGCGAGGAGAGTCAAACGATTTATACGAATACATATATACACCTATTTTATACATACAGCAAACACGCCAGCGAGCACCTTACGTCTTGTGATTGAGATTCAGATAAGCCTCGTCAACATCGATGCGAAGGAAGTCCCCGTGAGTGCTGTTCTCCGCCTGCAGCAGCTGCTCGTCCACTGCGCTCCTCCCGTGCCCGATGATGAACCGGAACACCAGCCCCGTTGCTGCTTCCACACTGGAGAATATCATGTGAAATGGAGGGGGACGTGGGGAGGGAAAGGGGTGCTTCCATCATTGCATCGCATCGCATCGCATCGCATCACATCACTCGGTGCAGTGCATCACCTCTGTGCCCGATGATGAAACGGAACACCAGCCCTGTTGCTGCTTATATGCTCAAGTAGACGCACTAGGGAGGGGAGGAAACGAGGAGAAGGGAGAGGAAAAGAGGGCAGGGTTGAACGATGCACAAAACAGATGGCGTACAGATGGCGTACAGGTGGCGTACAGACGGCGTACAGATGGCGTACACGTGGCGTACACGTGGCGTGCGACGCACAGGGAACAGGGGGCTGACCATCTGACCTCAGGGCGCACTGGGAACAGAACAGTGATGCTCCCAGAGCGCCTTGAGAACCATCAGGCTCTCCACTACCATCTCACCTCTGATGCTGCATCTTCCATCTCATTACCCGCACACTTCCAGTTT